ATATTGTGACCATCGTCATCATTGTGATGTTGACTGTGAGTGTCATTGAAGACAAAAGGCCTGTTCAGCAAAGCGAATGTACGCGAGCCCTCACTAAAATTCCTTTTATCTCTAATAGAAATGTTCGCGAGCGCTCGCAAACATTCAGAGCGCAGTGTAGAACATACATAATTTTTCTGTCACTAATAAGTATTGGATAGATACATCTTTGGTAAAATGATAAAGTTTGTTCTAGGCTGCGCTTTATATTTTCTGAAAGAAAAACTGCTTGAAAATAAGCAAATTTATACAAAATATACTAAAATGGTGACAAAACGTGAACTTTACATCATATTTCTAAAATAATGGCATTTTGATCAAATTGAAAATGACCAATAAAGGTCGCATGTATAGCTGTGCAAATTAAAGCTATATATAAAATAAAATTAAGATATTCCTTTTAAGGGGCCATTTGAGACACTTATCATATGTTGCTCTTTAATATATCAAGTACCTGCAATGAGAAGGGTTGCAGAAGCACTAACTGATCCCATAGAGTTGGTGGCTGTACAGATATAACTGCCCTGTTCCCTCCCAGTCACCCTGGAGAACATCAGCAATGTGCCCTCCTGTTTGAGTTCTGTTGTTCTACTCTCAAAGGCTTCCCCACCAGCCCTGAAAAAACACAACACAGAGACAATAACATACTGATTCAGCTTTTGAAATTATCCTCAATGATGGGATGTTGCTTGTGTGGCTTGTGTGGCACATAAGTGAGAGTTTTTGCTTTAGAGTTGTGATATAAGGAGTTGACCCTTATGTTTAGGTTTCATGTTTAGAATACTTAAATATAGCCATAAATGTCACAAGTAGGTCACTGTGACCTATATTTTGGTCATCATTCTCCAACTCAAAATGCATCAAATAACAAAGTTTGATGATTTTAAACCAATAAGTACCCGAAATACATAAATATAGCCATAAAATGACAAAAGTAGGTCACTGTGACCTACTTTTTGGTCGACATTCTCCGAAAACCCAAGATGCATTTACTGACAAAGTTTGATGATTCTAAGTCAATCAGTACCTGAGATATTCAAAAGTGGGTCACTGTGACCTACTTTTTGGTCAAAGTGCTCCGAAAACCTAAGATGCATCAAATGACAAAATTTGATGATTCTAAACCAATTAGTACCTGAGATACATAAAACTAGCCATAAAATGTCAAAAATAGGTCACTGTGACCTACTTTTTGGTCGACGTGCTCTGAAAACCCAAGATGCATCAAATGACAAAGTTTGATGATTCTAAGCCAATAAGTACCTGAGATACTAAAATACAGCCATAAAATGTCAAAAGTAGGTCACTGTGTCCTACTTTTTGGTCGTTAATCTCCGAAAACCCAAGATGCATCAACTGACAAATTTTAATGATTCTAAGCCAATTAGTACCTGAGATACTTAATTCTAGCCATAAAATGTCGGAAGTAGGTCACAGTGACCTACTTTTTGGTCGACATTTTCTGAAGACCAAAGATGCATCAACTGACAAAATTTGATGATCATAGGTCTAATAGTATTCAAAATATGCCTTTTAAACAATTTGAAAACAAATGCCTGCAAAGTTCAAAAAGTAGGTCACAGTGACCTACTTTTTGATAAATATGTTTTAAGGCCTCTAGATGCATCAACTTACAAGATTTGGTGATTCTAAACCTCTCGGTGTCTGAAATAATGGGATTAAATTAGAAATGATTAGCCATAAAATTCAAAAAGTAGGTCAGGATGACCTACTTTTAAGTTGATGTTGTTTGTGGACCCAAGATGCACCAACTGACAAAGTTTTATGATCATAGGCCTTAAAGTGTCCAAAATATGCCTCCAAATCAATTTGAAAACAAAAGCCCGTAAAATTTAAAAAGTAGGTCATCGTGACCTACTTTTGTATTAACATGATGTCAAGTCCTGAGATGCATCAACTTACAAGATTTGATGATCCTAGTCATTATATTAAGCAAAATATCAACGTTTTTTAAGTGTGTAAATTTTGGTCAACTTTGAAGTGACCTTGAGACTACGCCCTTTGCCCCAGGGTCATGCCTTGAACAATTTTTAATCTTCAACATATCCTGACCCTTGTATGTAACTTTGGTGAAAATCTGCCTGGTGGTTCTCGAGAAGATTTTTTAGCAACCAGTACTTTTGGTTTTATTTTCCTGATTATCTCCCCTTGTTTTAGGGTCCCACCCCTAATTTTAATATAAATGGTAGCCCTTGGGCCAAGGATACCCTGTGACAAATTTGACAATAATTGGCCAAGGGGTTCTTGAGTTATGGCCCATATTCTAAAAAGTTAATGCACACCGCACGACGCACACCACACAAATGGCCATAGCATTAGCTCTTCGAGCCTTTGGCTCAGAAGTGCTAAAAATCCTAAAAGGGACATTAACATTAACAGTGCAACTTCTCAACATTGTTCTGGGTACACACCTTGTCCATGTGACTGTTGGTGTAGGTTCTCCCGAGGCTCGACACACAAACATGGCACTCCCTCCTATAGTAATGGTGGACGTATTCTGTGGATACAGTGTTATTGATGGTTTGGCTCGGGCTGAATCAGAAACAATAAAACTTTGATAAAAAGGGCATAACAAAACCGGAGTATCACATCAATCACAATATGTTATTCTTTGAGATTTGTGCCAATTCAACGACACCAAGGAGAAAAAACCTGAACTTAGAAATATTGTTTAACAAAAGTCTGATAGCTTACGCATGACTTCTACGATGACCCAGGCTTGGTCTGACCCAGCTGTGTTCTCGGCCACACAGAGGTAAACTCCGCGATCCTCCACCTGGGCTCCCACAATCCTTAGGGTTCCTCCAGATACCTACAAAGACAATGCTTTGTTTTTAAAGACAACAAATATGTGTACTAATTTTTTTATTACAAAGGCTTACAGTTATCTTTCCTTTCTACTATTTTTTCCTTTCAAATTCTGCATAAAAAATTGTGTAAAAGGATAACTTTGTAAAAGTAATGACAAGCATCTTTTTTCTTTTGTAATAATGACTGAAACATTTCATTTTCCAATTTAATTAAGCCATTACTGAAAATTGTGGTCAGTTTACCCTGTGTCTGCTGGTCAGTTCCTCCCGACTCTTGCTCCACGTGATTGTAGGTTGTGGTGTCCCAGTGACCTCACACCTGATGGTTGCCGTGCTCCCCTGGTCTACAGTCAGCCTATTTTCTGGTATATTTACTTCTGCTGTTGGCCTCACAGCTGTTTATAAACATATACTATTAAAGCTTTGACATTATAATACAAGTGCCTGACATTTTTATGCAAAATCAATTCACTTTCTAAGAATATAAAGTATAATCCCAATGTTCTAACCAAAAAGTCTTATCCAGACCCAAATATACAGATGTTACAGTACATTAACTATGAAATGCAAGAAAACTGTTTTCAATGGAAAACATAATACTTATATCTTACGTAAATTTTCGTCCCTGACTGTGATGGATGCAGTGACAGTGCCTCTATCCCCAGCGGGTGTGATGGCGGTACAGAGATACGGTCCGGCCCCTGACTGCTGGATGTTGGGGATGATGAGGGTTCCGCCTCTCTGGGTGGAGCCCGGGGGGAGGCCACCTTGTCGGGACCACACCAGCTGTGCCTGTACTCCATCCACATAACATTCCAACTCAGCAGTGGTTCCGGCCACTGCAACGACAACCACCACTCTGACCTGCACATTCACCTCTGGTCTCGTCTCATCTGCAAAGAATAATGGATCAGAGTTCACACATATATTTAATCTACCCATGAAATATGGAGAGTCCATTAAAACAATGCAGATATGGAACAGAACAAACAAAGGTCTCCAAAACCATTAGAGGAGGGATCAGGTGCCATGGAGGAGTACAAATCATCCCTCGTCAACCAGTCACACCCAACTTACGCTCTGTTAATGTTCGAGTGAACATAAACAATGGGAGAAATTTCAGAATGTAAATGAAAATAATATCCTTGTACTGTAGATCACTAAATTTTCGCGACACCTTATTTTCGCGAGATAGTCATTGACTCTTGATTAGCGAGATAAAATTTTCGCGAACTGTAGTTATTGCTCTATATGTTCTTAAGGAATACTATTATACGCGAGAATCAAATTTTCACGAGCACACTGTCTCGCGTAATTACGCGAAAATAAAGTTCTCGCGAATAAAAAGTGATTTACAGCATTTACATTAGGCAGTAAAGAACAACTTAACATTGAATGTATATATTTAAACAATAATGAAGCTAGTGTTATATAAAATGCCAGCCTTCAAAAAATGCAAATATCATGAAGGCTTGACCTTAACTTCAAACAAACAGCAGTTGCAGACAAAGGTTTTCATTAATCTTAAAGTGACAGATAAAGAAAAGTCTACTAAATTTTCTGCAGCAGGCTAGATAATTAATCCCAAGGGATTAATTCTACCTCTCTCATCATTTTCTTCAAAAGTTACAATAAGAACTTTTTCAGTATTAATGATAGAATGGGGTTTTTATACAACTATCCTAAAAATTAATAATATTCTTGAATTAACATAAAGTGAAAAAAGTAAATCAAAAAATCTTCTTTAATCTATTTCTTGTTATTAGAATTGAATGAAATCATAACTATTAAAAAAAGTAAAATAAAAAATTATATTTAAATCCACATTTCAGAGTTTTCATAGCATTCCAAATTGACTTAACTTCAAAACAAACTTCATTTGCAGACAGAGGTGGTAATTCATCTCAATTTGACAGATAAAGATAATGCTCTGGATTTTCTTCATGAGGAAAGCTAATTAAATAATCCTGAGGGCCTCATAGCAGCATTCAGTTTACAATGGGAACATCTTCAGCAGTTATCTCCCTTTGCCAATGCTTTCTTATATAAAGTTAAGGAATCTACCCCACCACCCCAGCTCCAAACCAGGAGACACAGAGAACCAAACTTAGCATCAAAATATGTATTTCTGCCTACTGAACTACCATACCAAATTTGTACTTGATTGGGCAACCATAAAAAAAGTTGTCCATTCATACTTATGCATAGATGAGGAATCTACCCCACCACCCCAGCTCCAAACCAGGGGACATAGAGAACCAAAATTAGCATCAAAATATGTATTTCTGCGTACTGAACTACCATACCAAATTTGAACTTGATTGGGCATAAAACTTTGATTCCCTATAATGGCCCCGCCCTTCCCCCAGGGGTCATGATTTCTACGATTTTTGAATTTACACTACCCAAGAATGCTTCCACATAAGCTTCACTTTTTCTGGCCCAGTGGTTCTTGAGAAGAAGATTTTCAAAGATTTTTTCTATATTTTTCTATTAAAACTTTGATTCCCTATTGTGGCCCCGTCCTTCCCCCAGGGGTCATCATGATTTGAACAATTTAGAATCTACACTATACCAGGATGCTTCCACATAAGTTTCAGCTTTTCTGGCCCAGTGGTTCTTGAGAAGAAGATTTTCAAAGATTTTTCCTATATATTTCTATATAAAACTTTGATACACCATTGTGGCCCCACCCTTCCCCGGGGGTCATGATTTGAACAATTTAGAATCTACACTATACCAGGATGCTTCCACATAAGTTTAGCTTTTCTGGCCCAGTGGTTCTTCAGAAGAAGATTTTCAAAGATTTTTCCTATAAATTTCTATGTAAAACTTTATACCCCCTTGTGGCCCAGCCCTTCCCCCGGGGGTCATGATTTGAACAATTAAGAATCTACACTATACCAGGATGCTTCCACGTAAGTTTCAGCTTTTCTGGCCCAGTGGTACTTGAGAAGAAGATTTTCAAAGATTTTTCCAATATATTTCTATATAAAACTTTGATTCCCCATTGTGGCCCCCCCCATCCCCCGGGGGTCATCATGATTTGAACAATTTAGAATCTACACTGTACCAGGATGCTTTCACATAAGTTTCAGCTTTTCTGGCCCAGTGGTTCTTGAGAAGAAGATTTTCAAAGATTTTTCCTATATATTTCTATATAAAACTTTGATTCCCCATTGTGGCCCCACCCTTCCCCCGGGGGTCATTATGATTTGAACAATTTAGAATCTACACTATACCAGGATGCTTCCACATAAGTTTCAGCTTTTCTGGCCCAGTGGTTCTTGAGAAGAAGATTTTCAAAGATTTTTCCTATATATTTCTATATAAAACTTTGATTCCCCATTGTGGCCCCGCCCTACCCACGGGGGTCATGATTTGAACAATTTAGAATCTACACTACCCCAGGATGCTTCCACATAAGTTTCAGCTTTACTGGCCCAGTGGTTCTTAAGAAGAAGATTTTTAATGACCCAACCCTATTTTTGTCTTTTCTTGATTATCTCCCCTTGCGAGGGGGGTATGTCCCTTCATTTTAACAATTTAAATTCCCCTTCACCCAAGGATGCTTTGTACCAAGTTTGGTCAAAATTGGCCTAGTGGTTCTTGAGAAGAAGTCGAAAATGTGAAAAGTTTACAGACGGACAGACAGACGGACGGACAGACGGACGGACGGCTACAGACGGACGGACGACGGACAAAATGTGATCAGAAAAGCTCACTTGAGCCTTCAGCTCAGGTGAGCTAAAAAAATTTATTAGAAAAAAACAGAAAATTTGTGGACGGAAGAGTGACAGACAGACAGACGGACAGACGGACGGACGACGGACACATTACTATCGCATAAGCTCTTCTGGTCTCTGACCAGTAGAGCTAAAAATTAAGATGAAACAATCAAGTGTATGTCAATTAGAATCTTTCCCTCCCTTCTCCAAAAAGTAATATCTTAGGTATGTGCATGACTTAAGGAAAAACCCACATGGCACCATCAAGCCTGACAAATTTCATGACTGTAAAAAAATAATTCTGTTTTGGATAGGTGGTATAAATTTCTGTAAATTTAATATCTTATCAAAATTTCTAAACTATAAATAAAAAATCTCAAAAATGTTTCTAGAAACAGGACTTCAGTGTCAAAACCTCATATATTTTTTAGCCTTTGAAAAAAATGTTTTAAAAGTTGTACAATTTTCAATTTTTCACTGAATTGTGTCCTGGTAGAAAAAAATGTTGTTTACATATGTAACCAAATACCCCTTCTTTAGTGAGAGAGGCACCTATTTTCAAAAATATTTCAATTTTGGAAAAAAAAAAACATTATTTTTT